CCCAGTCCTGGTACTCAAGGACCGGGGTAGGAAGATGGGGCAGAGCACCTAGAAAAGCCTAAACTGAAAAGCCAAGGCCAGGCAAAGGAAGGAGGGAAGGAAGGAAGGAAGGAGGAGCTGGTGTTGCTGGAGCCCACAGGGCAGAGGCAAAGAGGTTGATGTGACACCGACCTGGGCACAGAGGGGATCCCCCCCACGGGTGAAGCACACGGGGCAGTGTCACCTGCAGGATCCCCACGTGTCAATGTCCTCTGTGGGTGGACAGAGGGCAGGAGAGCTGGGTTGGGTCCTTGGTCCTTGGTACTCAAGGACCAGGGTAGGAAGATGGGGCAGAGCATCTGGAAAAGCCCAAACTGAAAAGCCAAGGCCAGGCAAAGGAAGGAGGGAAGGAGGACCTGGTGCTGCTGGAGCCCACAGGGCAGAGGCAGAGAGGTTGACGTGGCACCAGGCTGGGCACAGAGGGGATCCCCCCACGGGTGAAGCACACGGGGCAGTGTCACCTGCAGGATCCCCACGTGTCAACGTCCTTTCTGGGTGCAACCTGTCCTTCCTTCCAGGGACAGAGGGCAGGAGAGCTGGGTTGGGTCCTGGTACTCAAGGACCAGGGTAGGAAGATGGGGCAGAGCATCTGGGAAAGCCCAAACTGAAAAGCCAAGGCCAGGCAAAGGAAGGAAGGAAGGAAGGAAGGAGGACCTGGTGTTGCTGGAGCCCTGGGCAAATGGGAAATACCAGTCCCCTCTTGACACGGGCCACCTCGGGACCAGGATGGGGCCCTGGAGGGACCAGAATGGTCAACGTCCTCTGTGGGTGCAGCCTGTCCTCCTCCCTTCCAGGGACAGAGGGCAGGAGAGCTGGGTTGGGTCCCAGTCCTGGTACTCAAGGACCGGGGTAGGAAGATGGGGCAGAGCACCTAGAAAAGCCTAAACTGAAAAGCCAAGGCCAGGCAAAGGAAGGAGGGAAGGAAGGAAGGAAGGAGGAGCTGGTGTTGCTGGAGCCCACAGGGCAGAGGCAAAGAGGTTGATGTGACACCGACCTGGGCACAGAGGGGATCCCCCCCACGGGTGAAGCACACGGGGCAGTGTCACCTGCAGGATCCCCACGTGTCAATGTCCTCTGTGGGTGGACAGAGGGCAGGAGAGCTGGGTTGGGTCCTTGGTCCTTGGTACTCAAGGACCAGGGTAGGAAGATGGGGCAGAGCATCTGGAAAAGCCCAAACTGAAAAGCCAAGGCCAGGCAAAGGAAGGAGGGAAGGAGGACCTGGTGCTGCTGGAGCCCACAGGGCAGAGGCAGAGAGGTTGACGTGGCACCAGGCTGGGCACAGAGGGGATCCCCCCACGGGTGAAGCACACGGGGCAGTGTCACCTGCAGGATCCCCACGTGTCAACGTCCTTTCTGGGTGCAACCTGTCCTTCCTTCCAGGGACAGAGGGCAGGAGAGCTGGGTTGGGTCCTGGTACTCAAGGACCAGGGTAGGAAGATGGGGCAGAGCATCTGGGAAAGCCCAAACTGAAAAGCCAAGGCCAGGCAAAGGAAGAAAGGAAGGAAGGAAGGAGGAGCTGGTGTTGCTGGAGCCCTGGGCAAATGGGAGCCAGGAGGCAGCAGAAGTGTTTGGGTACCACAGGGCAGAGGCAGAGAGGTTGACGTGACACCGACCTGGGCACAGAGGGGTTCCCCCCCCCACGGGTGAAGCACACAGGGCAGTGTCACCTGCAGGATCCCCACGTGTCAACGTCCTCTGTGGGTGGACAGAGGGCAGGAGAGCTGGGTTGGGTCCTTGGTCCTTGGTACTCAAGGACCAGGGTAGGAAGATGGGGCAGAGCATCTGGAAAAGCCAAACTGAAAAGCCAAGGCCAGGCAAAGGAAGGAAGGAAGGAAGGAGGGAAGGAAGGAAGGAGGACCTGGTGTTGCTGGAGCCCTGGGCAAATGGGAAATACCAGTCCCCTCTTGACACAGGCCACCTGGGGACCAGGATGGGGCCCTGGAGGGACCAGGATGGGGCCCCTGAGGGACCAAAATGGTAGCGGTGGTTTGAGGGGGAAAAAGGGCTTAAAAAAATTGTATTCTTAATGTAGGGGCAGCTTAGTGCTGCTTTCAGGGGCAAAGTAGAGGTGATTTCTCCAAGGCCAGACAGAGGTTGGCTGGAGAGGAGCCCCCACATCAGCCCTTGCTGTGTTGGTGCCCCCCAAGAACCCGCTGCTGACCCAACGTTGTGCTTTCCCCCGCAGTGCTGGGCCGGGTGCTGGAGGTGACAGACCTGCCCGAGGGCATCACGAGGACGGAGGCCGACAAGCTCTTCACCCAGCTCGCCATGGCTGGGGCCAAAATCCAGTGGCTGAAAGAGACTCAGGGGCGCCGAGGAGATGGGGGCGGCGGGGACAACAACGGGACTGCGGAGAACGGCAGGCACGGTGACCTCGCTGCCTTATACACCATCGTGGCCGTGTTCCCCAGCCCCCTGGCTGCCCAAAACGCCTCCCTTCGCCTCAACAACTCCCTCAGCCGCTTCAAACTGCGCGTGGCCAAAAAGAACTACGACTTGAGGGTGCTGGAACGTGCCAGCTCCCAGTAGGGCTCAGGCACTGGCACCCAGCACACTGGACTGCGGGCACTTCCCTCTGCCTTCTCTCTTCCTTTCTGCCCTCCCTTCCTCTCTCTCGCCCTCCTTCCTGGATATATTTATATGGACATAATTAAGAGACGAGAAATTGATTTTTTTTTTTTTTATTATTAATATTATTATTATTATTATTATTATTATTATTTTTGGAGTGATGCCCGTGCCCGCCCACCCTACCCTGTGTATATTGTTTTGTTAAGCACTGTGTTGAGCCGCACATAGAGGTGTTGATTGGTATGTTCACTGCACATTTTATTTAATCTGATTATTATTTGGGGGGTATTTTTGGTTTTGTTTTATTTGCGGGGGGGGGGGG